CCTGCTGAAATCTTATCATCCCGTCAGTGTCCTCTTGGAGCTACTATCATCGCCTGTGACACTTCATCTGTGCTCTTCCCCTCCTCCTGCAGTCCCCAAAGCTCTGTCTAGCTCATCTCCTCACTAGGATCTGTGTCTTTCTTGAGTTTCTGAGGCTCTGCGAGCTATCTTTGTGATAGGACAAGGTATCACCACAAAATTCCCTGAGAACTTGAAGTGAGATCAAAGAGTCAATTCAGTCTCTTCCTAAGAGTCTGGCCTAGAAAAATGTGACCTGGGGAAACAGTAGTTGTAATTGCAACTGTGTGAACAGAGATAGCCAGAAAGCCAGTCTGCAGCAAGAAGGAAGATGTGCAGAAAGCTAGATGTGCAGAAAGCTGCAGAAAATGAAATGGAGTTCTGGTGGAGGCCACGTGCCTAGTTACCAGCGAGTTTCCTTCCTGAAGAGGATTTTCCTCTACTTTCAGATTTCATGATACATCTGTAAATAATACAAACACATCTTTACTACTCTAGCTCTAGTAGGATACTGCAACCAAATAATCCCAAGTAAGTCTACAGCTTTTACCATACAAAACAAAGTACCCTTTGTCTGTATAAACTAATACCCACACCAAGCTGAAACATCACTTTTCTCTATTAGCAGTAATGTATTCACACTGAGTCATTCACCTCCTTGCACCCTCCTACTGACATTGCTGAACCCCTAAATCAACAACCCCAGGGCTAGTCCAACTTATGAACACCTAGTTAAAACTATAATAATCTTGCTTAAGCTAATTTGAGTCAGGGATTTCTGCCAACATGTCTGAAACTATTAAAATCCCCTTACTTTAAGTAAAATATTCCCAAATGTAGTTTGCCTTCTCAATGGCCAACTGAATCATCTGACCTCTGAATTCTAATTTGAGTTTCATAAACAATCAGCAAGAGTGAGGCCTTTGCAGGGGATCAGTTATGTGTTTTTGACAGGTGCAGTGTTATCTCCTATTATAAATATACAAACTACAATTACAATGTGCAGTTACCTGTGCATTTAATTTTTTTTCGCCAGAAACTGAGTGCGCTCACTAAAGAGAGAGAAAAGGACAGGAAGGAGAAAGCACTCCCTGATGGGGGGAGGTGGTCATGCTGCAATCCCTTCTCCTCCATTTCTGCATTCTGTTGGAACTTAGGACATGCATACACATGCAACCAGCATGTTTTTCAAGGCAGCTACGTGGGATCCAGCTTCCTTAACTATTAGGCTGTAGGGCCAGCCCAAGTTTATTACGCCTCTTTACTCAGAACTACCTTGTCACTGAAAGGAAAAAGAATGTTCCTGTTTTGTGGGACTGTAAAATTAATAATCACTCAATGTGAGTTACTGGGTAAATAAGCTAGTGCAGGGGTCTCTAACCCCTGGAGAACTGGGCTTCACAGCAGGACATTAGTGGCGGGCAAGCGAATGAAGCTTTACCTATCTTTAGAGTCATGCCTCAGTTATGGAGAGGAATCATAAATTACTGATTACAAATCTATGATTTTGTTGGTATCTTTCAATCAGCTATGGCTTGAAGTATATAAAATATAAATTTTCTATCCAAGAAATAAATGAATACCTTTAAAAATAAAATAATACAAACTAAACTAAAATTCTTAAATGATCACCTGAGCTCTGCCTCCTGTCAGATCAGCAGTGGCATTAGATTCTCATAGAGCAATAATCCTAATGTGAACCGTGAACCGTGCATGTGAGGAATCCAGGTTGTGTGCTCTCATAAACCAGCCCCCTCCACCTACCTACCCACTCTCCCAACACCTATCCGGGAAAACAATCTTTCCTGAAACCGGAGCCTGGTGCCAAAAGGTTGGGGACCACTGAGCACTATCTCCTAACTGGCAACTGAAACCACATACCCTGATGAAAGTGAAAGTTCATCTCACCCTAGTTATGTTGATCAACTATCATCAAAGTAACAGACTAATTAAGAATGAGTTTAAGGGAGACTAGCAGATGGCATAAGGGTTACATTGCTAACTGCCACGTAGTCAACCTTAGTTCAAGTCCCGGATCCAGTGCCTTAAAACTCAGGCCAGGCACATGTGCATCTGTCCCCAAAGTACCCAGAGGAGAGTGGAGGAGAAGGGACTGCAGTGTGGTCATCCCCCATGGGGGTTGATTTCTCACTTTCTGTCTCTCTATGGTAGTAAAGCACTATGCAAAGGCAACTGATTCCCACGTGGCTGTCTGGGATTTCTATAAAACACAGTAAAATGGATCTGATCAGGAATTTAAACTGTCATATAAAATACAGATTTAAATTTTTTTTTTCTTTTTTTGGAGAGGTTTTTTTTTTTGCTATAGGGCGCATGCGCTCGTCAGGCAGACAGAGAGAGACAGAGAGACAGAAAGCGAGAAATCAACCCCCAGGGGGGATGGCCATGCCACAATCCCTTCTCCTCCATTCTCCTCTCAGGATCTTGGGCGCGCACGCACACACGCCCGGCCTGAGTTTAAGCCACCGGGTCCAGGACTCGAACCATGGTCGACTACATGGGAGTCCAGCGACATAGCCATTACACTAACTGCTGGTCCCAATATAGATTTAAATTTTTGACAAATCAATCATCTGTCTTCTTTTTTGTATTTATTTGGTTTTTGAAAACATTAATTTTTTTATATCATTGTTTATTTTCCTAGTTAAATTTGTTTTAGCAGAAAAATTACTGATCACAAGTCTGTTATTTTTGTCTGTATCTTTCAATCAGCTAAGACTTAAAGTATATAAAATACAAATTCTCGAGGTCAGAAGGTGCATGGTGGTTAAGGACGCTGGACTCCCACATGGATAAAGGCTAGAAAAATTTAAGGCTACAGAAGAATTTTCTAAAAGATTAGTAGGTCTTTTTTTTTTTTCTACAATGAGGCCATTAACAATGCAATGATTAAACTGGGCTCCCAGAGCTGCAACAGAGTTGAAGGGGGACTTGGGAGTTTGGGACAGTGATTTTTGATCGATCTGAACAATTTTTTTTTTTTTTTTTTAGGTTTTTGCTATAGGGCTCATATGCTCTCAGGGAGAGACAGAGTGAGACTATGGAGGCGCAGGGGTAGGGTAGGTGGCACAATCTTTTCTCCTCCTTTTTCCTCTTGGGATTTTGGGCGCACCCACACGTGCCCAGTGTGTTTTGCAAGCTGAGGGGTCTGTGATTCCAGCAAGAGCTGGCCATATGGGATCCAGTGCCTTAATCACCATGACACCTGCTGGCCCAAGTACTTTAATATTTTAACAACTGGTATCACCTTAGAAGTGTGTACTGGTAGAGTATTTGTCCTGAATTTTTCTCTAAGGAAACTCAAGCACATGTACAACATGATACATAAAAAGAATCTACATGCACCCATTAATTTGTCATAAACAGAAAGAAACAAAAACATCAGAAAGGAAAATGGGTGAATAAATTATGGTCAACTCATGTAGTGGAATGAAAATAACTATAGCTGGGGCTTGCAGGTGGCATGGTGGTTAAGGGCGCTGGATTCCCACATGGCTGACCATGGTTTGAGTTTCGGACCTGGCGACTTGCTTTCTCACTTCCTCTCTCCTTCTCCCTCTCTCCCTCTCTAGTCAAATTGAAATAAACAAATGAGTAAAGTTAACTGAAAAACATTTTTTAAAAAATAAAATAACTATAGCCATAGGGCAATGTGAATAAATCTTACAAACAGTTGAATGGAGAAAAAAGACAAAAAGATTTTATACACTATTATTCCATTCATGTAAAGTTTTTAATAGATTAAGTTACTGGATTAAGAAGCATGAATGTGTAATAGACTCATGAAATAGGCAAGGAAATAATTATCCGGGTTGTTAAAAGGGGGATAATGAGGCAGTGGAAGTATCCTTTATAACTAATTGCAATTCATTTTAATTCATCCTTATGTGCTTAATGCACTTTATTAATTTACATTTTGTGATAAAATTTTACAATGAGTAAGAAAATTCTTGGCACTGGCTGAGAGTGATAGATTTTGCAGCTGAAATATATGATAACACAAATGATGCAGTCAGAAGTGGGCAGGGCTATGAATCACAGCAACAACAAAAAGAAAGAAAGAAAGTGATTGGAGAACAAAGTAGCAGGGATGGCATTTATCAACAACAGCTAATTACAGGGCATCAAGTACTTCGGGTAGAAGTGGAAGGCTTCTTAAATCAGAAATTTCCAAAGCAAGTTTTCAAAGAAAAATGGACACCAAAGGCAAAGTAAGTACCTAATTTATATCTTTGTTCAATTCATGGTCACATATGTGAGTGTGTGTATTTGTGCTTTTGCTAAAAGAAAATTCTTTCAAGCGTTACTCTCAGAAACCAGCAACTTAAAGTTGGCCAAAAGGATATAACTAGCTCTGTACTAGGAATTTATCCCAAGGAAATAACTGGAACCCAAGTGTTTACTACAAAGGTGTTCAATTAAATATTATGTAAATAGCAAAAGAGAGAGGTTTAAGTTAACTGTTATATAATCATAATCCAGAATATGCATTTGTTACAAATAATATTAGAGAAGAATATGGAAAATATATGCAGTAGTAATAAGTAGAAAAAAGTATACTATAAAATACTACATACACATGATTCCAATTGAGAATACTCAAAGTTTTCAAAAGTATAAAGATGGTGATAAAATTATCTATGAATTTTCTTTTTTCCTTACTTGCATTTTGAAATTTCTTATACTAATATATATTTCATTTGTAATATTAGTGATATTCAAAAACTGCATTATAACTATTGAAAAATATGTATTCATATAGTCAAAAACTGGGAAAATCATACCAACAGTAAAAACAGTGTTAGAATGGAGGATTATAGATTTCTATCTTTCCTCTTTTGATGGTACTTACATTTAAAATTTTAAATATAATTTGAGATGAGAAAATTTTTTATTCTAGAGATTATAGAATTCTAAATGTTTCATTTCTTTTCATGCATTTTTACCCACATTCTTGCAAAGAAACCAAATTTTATTTCATTCATATTCCGCCAATAAATTTAAGAATCACATAAGCCTCACTTCTCAGGCTTTTACTGCATTGCCTGGGAATCTTGTTCAAATGCAGATTTTATTTCTGTGTATTTGGGACAGGGCTTTCATCTCCTGCAAGTTTCTAGGTGATGTGAATTCATGTAACTGCTGATCTACACTCTGAGGTGCAAAGAGGTAAAACACAGGACCAGCATCCGGTGTAATGGCTATGTCGCTGGACTCCCATGTAGTCAACTGCTGTTTGAGTCCCGGACCCGGTGGCTTAAATTTACACCGGGCTGGTGTGCATGCGTGCCCAAGATCCTGAAAGGAGAATGGAGGAGAAGGGATTGCTGTGTGGCCATCTCCCCTGGGGGGTGATTTCTCGCTTTCTGTCTCTTTGTCTCTCTCTTTCTGGTGAGCACATGTGCCCTATGGCAAAAAATCTATTGAAAAAATAATAGTGAAACCCCTCAAAAAAAAAAAAAAAAAAAAAAAAAGAGGCAAGAGGCAAAAACACATCTATGCTCTAGTAATAAGCACTCAGGTATTCAGAACTGATTACAAATGGTTCAGTCAATGGATACTTACTGGTCAAACCCTGTAAATCCATCCTGTTTCAGAGGAAAAACAAAAAAGCATTGTATCAGGGTAAATATTATTACCTTGTCCTTTGTTGTTCTTTTTTTCCAGAAAATATGTCTATATACAATTTAACTTATTTTTAATTGAAATCCCTTGTCCTTAGAATTATATATTTTATATATATATATATATATATCTATG